TTGTGTTGCTCCTATTAGTCAGTTTCATTGTATTTTTTATCTTCAATCAATTGCGCTAATTCCATAGCTTCTCCAATCTTCGTGGTCTCAGTAGATGAAGTGTTGCTCAAATTTTTTGCGTCAATCTTTTTATAAAGTTTTCTTCTAACAACTCTTTTGATTCCTCTCTCAAACGACTAGACAACATCTCAAATTTCTCCTTATAGTCTATGACAGATTCTTCCTAGACCAATGCAAAAAAAATGCTCAAGTAAATCCCCTTTCTGAATGGTTCTGAAACACTCCAACAATCGGTTCTTGAATTCTTTCGATGTTCTGATTGGTTGATATTCTCTCTATTGATATCACACTAGAGCCTTCCGTTCCAAACACAGAGCAACCACCAATAATTTTTCTTCCTCCATTAGTCTATTAACAGCAAAGTAACTCTCCACACAATAAACTCAATTATAGGCATTCTCTCTTTCAAAGATCGACATCTTCAACTTTGTTATGTATGAGCTTCCTCTCTAATTTTCTTGATTGAAGCTCATCTTATCCAAGCGAGGCTTGATTTCCCTTCCGCGACCCATATTGATTCTTTTTTTTTCTATAAGTTTAGCTCACCCCATAGTCAGCAAACCCGCCCCAATAGGCTCCTGGATTGTCTTTTGCCTGAAGGCTACCACAACAAAAGACATTGACATGGTTGGATGCAACCCTCGATCAGTGGTTCGACCCACTGTGATTCTTTGTTCCAGCCTGAAATTCTTCGAATTGATCTTCTCCAGCCAAAAATGCATGTCGCCCATTTCCACCTACTGTCAGTCGTTTCAAACCTCCATATCTTCAGCAAGTCCCTCCATATTCTGACGCTCGAATCCACTCCTACTCCTTTGCTCGATGCCATTTGCTTTCGTTCATTTTTGCTGTCCGGACGTCGCGCTATTCCTTCCAAATGTTGGAGCTCTAGTTCGCTCACGATTCCATTGTTTGATCCTGCTGCTCTGGATCTCGCTGAGGCAGCGACACAAACCTGATGCCGCACAAATTCTTCTGATTGCTACAACGTGTGTATATTCCCGACTCCATCGCTTAATCCCGCAGCAAATAGCGGTAGGTTTGCATGAAACTTTTTGATGTTTTTCATCATTTCTTCTAGGGATATGAATCTCCCCTCATTGGACGAGAATCGCCCTCCATGACCAAGAATCACTCTTCCATTCCAGATCTGATTTGATTATTTTGTTGGTCGTTATTACTCTCATGACATTTTTTTATCACGAAGGCAGACTGCTTGTACGCCCTGGGTTCGTCATTGGCTTCCCAACTAGCTCAATTCGAGATTGTTTCGCAAGGTTTGTTAATGAAGGTGGAACCCAGTACACCACGATCTTGTCATTGGTTTCTCAACTCGCTTGAATCACTACTGTCTTGCGTTGTTCTCTCACGATGGTGGAACCCTATACTCTATGATCCAATTGTTGGCTTCCCAACTAGCTCGAATTGCGGCTGTATCACGATGTTCAATCATGAAGACGGGATCTTATATGTCGATATCCCGTCATAGGCTTCCCATCTAGCTCAAGTTACGACTTGATTGCAATTACTTCCAGGTTGTTGCTCTGATAACAATTTGATAGGAAAGAACAAGCTTCCGTAAAACTTAGGGCTTAAATAATAGATTACATTCCACTTCTATCAAAACAAAATTATAAAATCTCAATACATAAAAGATAAACACCTACAATTCGAGAGGTTGGTGATAGCTCCCAAGTCTAAACCCTTAGATTCAAAACAACAATCAAACATAACTTAACCCTCAACATATTAAGCTTTATTTATATCCCATAATAATGACTAAAAAATGACTAAATTATTTTTAGTCTTGCGCCTAACATAAGTCTTCACATTTTTTTGCGGGCTTGGCGTCAACTCATTGTAGCTCTAGGTTGACAACACCGTAGTAGCTCTAACACCTTTCTTCTCATTGAAGAGAAATAGGAAAGAAAATGTACTATGTTCTGGGAAAATTATTACTGATTTTTAATATTTATTAGAGGAATTTAATCCATCGACCATTGCTTTTTCCTTGTACAATATTTTACTACTATGTTATACGGAGTATGGGGCCCTCGAGTTCACATCATATTTTAGTTTATCTTATTTTTATCTGATGTGTTAGAAATTATATTAAAAAATAATTTATTCTTACGAGAAGTTGAGTAATAAATTATTTCCTTTGATTAGATTTATTTCATTTCCTATTTTATATATTTTTTTTAATCTCCAAAAAAATTAATATGAATTGGTTAATTAAAGATATTAGAAGTTATATCTTGTCTTTCTCTTTATTTTTTTTTTGTTGTCTTTCTTATTCTAGGATTTATATAAGGTTATTTATGCCACTTTTTTATATTAGTAAAATATTTCGGATTATTTTGAATTTCAACATGATATGAAAGCCTAATTTCGTATCCTAGCTATCGGTCTTTGCAGAACCGTCAGACTCCATTTTTGTCATCCTCCATGCGAGAAGGGGCACTCGTCTTGGTATTTGAAATGACTTTGTCTTCTCTCCCTGCAAGCTTGGCCTATCGGCTGACCCTTCCCAAGCTGAGAGCTTCGACTCTGCCAGCCTTTAGAAAGCAAACGACAGTTTCCCAACTGTTTTTCTTCCTACTGTTTTTCCTCCCGTAGAGATTTGTTTCATGGAGAATTTTCTGCTGTTGGCTGCCCGGTAATTTCTTTCCCATAAAAAACTATTGCATATCTGCCATTTAGATCTAGCTACCACCGTTTTTCACCCTAACTGTCATTAGTTCCCCTCTTCTCTACTAGTTTTCTTAAAGGTTGCTGCCGCTGATTCTTTCGGTTGATAGTTCTAGCCATCGGACCTCCCTCCGCTGAAGAGTCAATCCCTGGATTGCAGTCTCAGACCTTATCGCGAGACTAGAATGCATCTAGAGTGAAGTCGTTCTTGACATATTCGTCGAGGGCATATCGCATGGGCAACCAACTGTGGATTTTTGCCGCCCTCTCATTTGCGGCCTCTTTTGGCAAGATTTCTACCAAACCGCTGTCGACTGGCTCGCCCTCTCAGTGACAACCCTTCTCTGATGAGCTGTGTGTCGATGGCTTCTATGTTGTCTCTCCCAGCTGCAGAACTTTCCTGCAGACCTTCCCGTCGTTCTTACCCGGAGGACCTTCCTGTCGTTCTTACCCGGAGGACTTCCCATAGGAAACAAAGCAGTTTATTTTTGTTGTCTTTCCCAGTCGCAGGAAACAACACGACTTTTCCGTGAAGTCCAGTGTTGCTTACTATCGTTTTCCGTCGTTCTTCCACAAAAATCTAGCGTTGGTTCCTGCAGCTTGATCTGTTGCAACCCTTTCTCCTGTAGTATTTTTTCCTTCTCGGCACAGGCGTCAGGGAGAGTTGCGTTTTCAGCTGCGCTTTCATCTATAGCTTTCTCCGTGAGCAAAATTTCCTGGGTGTGATTCGCTCTTTCTCACTTGTTGGAATCCCAATCATAGAGCTGCCACTGATGTTCGGAGAGTGAGAATTTCTCTCTCCAGTGGCACTCTCAACCTAAAAATTATTTTTCCCAGGCATGTCTTCCTATCGAAAGTGGACAGAGGGGAGGAACTATATTTGTCATTCCCCCCTGCAAGTTTCAATTGTTATTCCTTTTTGCAGGAAGTTGCGGCTGCAGCCGCCTCCATGGCGTCTTTCGTCATTTCACATGCGTGGATTGTGGAAACGAAGGGAAGCTTGTTACAGAGGATTTCATCGTTGGTTTGATTGCAATATGACTTGAAAATGTCTATTATAAAGGTGAGACTGGATGTATCCTTGAATGAAATCCCAGCTGCCGACCTACATGTCCTTCTCCATTAGTGTCTTCTCTGCTTCTGGAAATCTCCATGCAGGTTCTTCTTTATGTTTTCTTTGCCGCCAGAATTCTCTCTGCAGACTTCTTCGCTAGAACTCTCTTGGCCATCAACAACAATGACAACCGGTTCTCTCCTTGTAGGTTGCAGCCCTTTTTCTCTGTCGTTGGAAATCTTATCTTACAACAATCTGCCCTCTAAAGAACAATATCCTGTTTCAGGCCCTCTCCACTGCATAACCTTTTCCTACAATAGACTCTCCTCCGGAGCTTTTATCTATTTTTTCTACAGGTTTTGTTCTGCAGTTGTTTTCCTACAAGTTGTCTACTTCCCTGCAAACTCTCTTACAGTATTAGCTGGAGGAGCCTTCTGCCTACCTACAGACACTGTAGAAACTGCTACCAAGCAACAACCGTAGTTAATTAGAAGTCAACTTTTTCTACAGGTTGTCTACTTCCCTTCAAACTAACTTGCAAAATTACCTATAGGAGTCTTCCGTCTACCTACAGATATTGCAAAAACTGCAATCAAAGACAACCACAATTGTCTACTTCTATTCAAAATTCCCTTGCAGCATTACTTATAGGAGTCTTTTGCCTACGTACAAACACTGTAGAAATTGTAATCAAAGACAACTGCAATTGTCAGCTTCCCTACAAACTCTTCTGCAACATTATCTATACGAGTCTTCCGCCCATCTACAGACACTACAGGAACTGCAGTTAAAGACAACTGTAGTACAGTATGAAGATTTCAAGTTCTACCTCACGGGATCTTCCTCACCCATTGTTTGATCTTTTTTAATCCATGTTTCAATTTGAAAGGGAGTGCTAAAAGTTATATTAGAAATAATTTATTCTTGTGAGAAGTTATAAGGAATAAATTCCTTGGATTGAATTTATTTCCTTTCCTATTTTTTCCTATTTTATGTTGTTTCCTTTATCTCAAAAACAATTAATATGAATTGATTAATTGGAGATATTAGGAGTTATATCTTTTATTTTCTGTTATTTCTTTTTTATTTTATTTCTTATTTTAGGATTTTATTTATATCATTTTTCATTTTCATATTAATAAAATATTCCGCATTATTTTGATTTTTCACATGAATTTTGATCAATAAATAACAGGCATTTGGCTGGGCCTATATCAAGAACCGTCACAACACATGGGAGCAGTTTTATGTGTATTGGATCTGCCCCTTCATTGGCGCCATTTTAGCTGCTTGGGGTTTCCGGATTCTGTTCCCGCTGCCTTCTCCGAAGACCAAGAAGACCAAGAAGGCTTGAGCCCCTAGACTACATTTATAAGGTACTTGAATTCCTAAGCTCCCTGTATTTAATAAACATTTCTGTGTTGATGTTGTTTGGTGTCTAGTTTTTCGTATTAGCAATTGGACTATGCTCTTTTGATTACTATATGTTGCTTTAATGATGTTGAATATATCTGCACTGTATTTTGCGGAGACATCCAACTTTGCTGTAGCTATTATTCATTCTTATAGATAATATTAAAAATATGTTAAAAAGAGGGCACAAATGTAGTTGTACATCAATTTTTTATTAGGAGTTTTTGAATATTTAGTTTAAAAATGGCATGCTAGCTTCAAGTGGCATTTCCTCTTGAAACTAACGAGCACATCACTTGAGCAGGCGCTCTCTAATTACCTTACGCACTGACACATTGTAGCGTGCAGTGTCCAAAACACGTGTGGACGATAGACATATATCCAACTTATGCTCAACATGTTTGTCTTATATTCAATTGAAGAATAATAATAAATTTGGACATGCATTTGGTGAATAATTATGTTTAAATTCTATAAATATCGACTACATGTATAATTGAAGCGAAATTTTGATGATTTATATTGTACGAAATATCTTATACTAATTTTCTTTGAAGCAATACTCTAAAAAAGTATTCATAATTAATAATATGACTCATTTAATATTTATTTAATATATTTAATTATTGCACATTATAAAGTTTATACAATGTATAAATTATAATTACATGTCAAGTATCTTTTCATGTTCTATATTTTCAAAATATACTGTCCCATATTCATTTCCTCATGTCTGTATCTGCGCATCTTAGCCACTTGGGAATTGCATGAATAACGCACAAATATCTAAAATGAATCTGTATGGTTAAGATAAATCCTTGTTACTCTTTTTGAACTATCTTGTAGTTGTTAACTGTTGTTTTACGCTGAGCAAACTTTGAACAAAATTAAGAGAAAGTGCATACGTAAGGCACGGCTCATGGTTGGATAATCTTTCTACGAAGTACATCATATTAGGCTGTGATTTAGTTGAAAACCATCGCTGCAGGCTGCAATATTTTCTGGTTTAGTTGAAAGTGATATGGAGATTATAAATCGGCATCCCTACAGAAAATGTTTGGGGAACTTTTTAACCTGCAGAGCATGACACTAGCCTTGGACCTCATTTTAATTTTCATGGTTCTCTAGGAATTGGGACTTTTTCTTCTTAACAAAAGTTTTTATGTTGGTAATAGTGGCAGGATTTCCTGGTGTATGTTAGTTTAGGGTTTGTTTTGAATCACTTTTATTTTTGCTTTTATTTTTCTTAATTTTAAAACATGTTTGGTTAGTATATTTTATATATTGAAAGTAGAGGTTACTAGAAGAAGGGAAGAGTGCCTCCCTACAGAAGAGGGATGTGGAGGGAAGAACCAAAATGCCTTTAATATATGATATAGCTCCCCTATTTATAGGAGATTAAGGAAAAAAATATAGAATTACACGTTTTACCTCTGCTCTAGATGGGGTTTGTACAATATATTGTAGTTTTTTTAGTGCTTCTACATTTTGCTCAGCAGGTTCTTGGGTTGGCCAACTGAGCTGGGTTTCGGTCGTTTTTCGTCCGGGCATTGGTCAGCTTTCACTCCGCCGAGTCGGTCGGTTCTTGAGTGGGTGGCCAGTCGACCAGTCGGCTTGGCTGATTATTGATCCTAGGTGATCTTTTGGTGACTTTTGTTGGAGTCGTTGAGAGAGTTTTGTGTTGATACTTGTTAGGTCGTTGGAGGTACTAGACCTTTGTTTGGTCGTTGGCGTCAATGTCTGTCCTTCATTGGCCTTGTAGGCCCTTTGGTCATCAGACTAACCTTTGGTCGGTCGGCAAGCAGACCTTCGGCCAGCAGGGAATATCTTTGGTCGGCCAGATTCGTGAGGCCTGATAGCTTTTCACCATGGAGGGTCCTCATATATCTTTTAATCTGGACCGTTAGATTGTCTCTAGATTACACATTTTTTATGTACACATAATTTTGTTGTTTGAGATGCTTATGTTAGCAGGACTTGAATTGAGCTACAGATTTTGGTTATGGTAATAGATTTTAAGCCGGTGCGTGGTTGCTAGGTTCGGCATTGAAGCTCGATTGCTTGATTGGTTATAATTGACCATTAAGCTATTTTGATCCGTCGAGAACACATGCCGGCTTTGCAATGGCTTTTGAAGGCAGGTGGTTTTATTTTATTTTATTATTTTTTTTTTATTATTGCCATTTTTCCGCTTATTTAAAATCTAAATAATTTCAATTTTTGAATTAACAGGCCAGAATCATCTCAAATACAATGCTCTCTTTTTGGCTCTCCCTAAATTATTTCCCCATGATTGGTCTTAGTTAATGGTAAAAGCTATAGGAACTTTTAGTTTTTTGGTCATTCAGTGTCCCGCGCTTGCACCAACACGCATCTATAAGGCATGGATTAGAAGAATAATAATGAAAGAATACGTAGCTTAATTGTTCAGATGTGGATTAGTGTGGCTACTATTAGGGGTGTAAACGAACCAAACACGAATGAACAGAGTTCGGCTCATTTATATATCGAACTCAAAAAATTTATTCATATTCGACCCGTTTTTTTATTGAGCTAAAAAAGGTTGTTCTCGAACAGGCTGTTATGGTAGGCATACTAACGCCGTCCTCGGATGTTAATGATAGAAGTGAGATTTAAATCTTTTTATTTATATAAAATTTAATATATTTTTATTTTAATTTTTAATCAATGATTTTAATTGATTATTTGATTATTTAAAAATAATATTCTTCATATATATATATATATATATATATATAAAATAAGCGGAGCTGGAACAAGCAAATTTTTGTTTGTTTCCGCTTGTTTAAATATTGAGCGCAAAAAAATAGGTTTGTTTTCAACTTATTTGCTTAGCGAACAAATTAAATATGAGGTAAAGCCAAACACGAGTTATTTGCGCTCCTGATTCCAATGTACTTATATATCTAACATTAAATTTTACTTTTTGTATATATATCGCTCAAATATTTCATATCACATAAGGCATACCTTTATTTAAACATTTAATAAGGGAAATACCTTTTTCATTTATAGCTAAGCTGGTATGTACATAAAAATTGAATCTTAGGTTTGAGATGTGAATGCATTTGAATTTGAGTGTTATGCATGTAAATCTTCCAAATATTAAAATTTGTGTTTGATACGTAAATGCATACAAATTTTGTGGCATGCATGTAAATGCCCCTAAATTATTAATATCATATAATTGTAAGCAATTAAAAATTACATTTAGAAATAAAAAGAGACACGATGAAAGATAATAATACCCTGTAATGCCTTGTATTAAAGCAAGGGGTAAGCATGTGATATTTTAACTTTACGCCTCTATCTCCTATAAATAGGAGCTTTTTGCTCCTCTCTAACCCATACTTTGTAAGGTGTTCCATCTTCTCTCTTATAAACCCCAAGCTATAATATATAAAAAAGCTATAAATAGGGACTATTTACATGAGGTTGTTTTAGTCCCAAAATTTAGAGAAGTGTCAAAATAATCCTCAACTATTTTAAAATTGAGCCATAATAGTCCTTCATAAAGATTGTTTCAACCTCAATTTAAAAAGTCTTAAGAATTATTTCGGTGCATATATAAACTCTAAGACTAAAATAACCCCATATTAATAGTCGGGAATTATTTTGACACTTTAGTCAATATATAAAATGGATCACAAAACTTTGAGAATACTCCAATTCGCCCATACATAACAAGTTTGCGTGTTTTTTTGGTTTTTTCTCCTCCCTCTACATCTTCTCCCTTAAGGTTCCTGCCACTCTAAACCTTAGGCATGCCTCACAAGAAAATTTTAGATTCAACAATACCACTCTTCTACTTCCTTTCATCTTTTATTCAACACTTGCCATTTTATACCGAAATCAAGAATCCATTTGAGATGGCAATACGACACCACACCTTAATATCTTTTTAGATAAAATGCATTTTGAAAATATTTTCAAAAAATTACAGCTAAAATTTACATTTTCCTAACAAACCTGTCTATGTGAGGTGATAGATTTTTAACTAAAGTATGATTCTTTCAAAAAAAATAATAATAATAAATAAAAGAAAATTATAATCACTGCCCTAATTTTTTGAACATCAGATTATCTTTCAACACCTTCACAGTTGTTTTTTAATAAGCTACATGTCACGGACAAATAGTCCCACATCGGTTAGGTGTAAGGCCAAAAAACAGTATTTAAGTCCTGGACTGCCCACCATCCACGAGCTCTCTTGGGAGGTGACAAGTGGTATCAGAGCAGATTACTGCCTGCCAGGTGTGTGGACTCTCCATGGCCCAGTGGGAACCTCGGTGGAACCGATCCGTGACAAGGGCGTCACGTGATTGAGTGGAGGAGAATGTCACAGACAAATAGTCCCACATCGGTTAGGTGTAGGGCCAAAAAGCAGTATTTAAGTCCTGGACTGCCCACCACCCACAAGGACTCTTTTGGGAGGTGACATACAGCTGCCTAAACAAGCCCTAAATCACAGCTATTGCGAAAACACCTATGCTAAACTTTGGCAGTTGCCCCCCACCATACAATTCACTCAAGCCCACCCCATAAACGTAGTCAAACTGATATACTAAGTACTCCTAGTAAAAATAAACATTCTGTTTCAATGATAGCCTAAAAGAAATTGAATGGTGAAGCAGCATGATACCCTCATAAGATAATGAATATCGACATTATACAGCATTTTGATGAGTACCCTCACTAAAATTTATATATATATATATATATATATATAGATGTATATCCACCAGATCTGTTGACAACTACTTAAAAAAATTTCAATACTGGAACTGGCGTCATCCCCTAGAGTTGCAAGTATTACATGCCAAAACTACAAGGCCCAGAACAAGAACGGCCTTTAGAACAACAACAAGAAAGAAAAAAAAAAACAAAGAGAGTGGTAGAATTAAAAAAGAAAAAAGAAAGAGGTAGAATTTAAAAAAAAAAAAACCAAAATGCTCCATAAATAGCTCAACAACAGCACAACACGTCTGCGTAGCTAGCTTCAAGACTTCAGATCAGCTGAAATTGAAGAAGGAATACAATGCGTGGTGAGAATTTCTGGAGTTGCTGCTTTTGCTGTCTTCGTCTCTAGGACTACAATCTGTAATCAGAAAAATATAAAACCATTAAAAAAAGATTTTTAGGGAAATCTGTCTGCAGATGAAGCACTAACTCACTGCATTAAAAATTAATAAACAATAAGAAGGGTTTGATTACATCTAACGCTATTTATCATAATCATCATCGTCATTACCATATTCCAATTATTGGGATTGGCTTTGAAAATCCTCAGTTTTCAATCTTTCTACTGACTTGTACATAAGGTGTTAAGTTTATTACATATTGCATGACCTCTATCTTAGTTACCTTCAGTTTCTCTCTTTTTCTTCCAAATCTTTGCACAACATCAGCATTTATCTTATTAAGTCTATGAACTTTTCTTCCTTAGATGCTACTCCCAAAGACTTTATAATATAATCATTTTTTTTATTTTATAACACCTATTTTAAGACTATCATTTCTATCATACTCAATTTATTATAAATAACTTTCTTACTGCTCAACCCTCAATTGCATAATAACTTTCTTACTGCTCAACCCTCAAATACATTGTATTCAGATTCTTACTGAGACTATCATTTCTATCATACTCAGTGATTGGAAACTCATTAATCACTCTATAGCTAAAAATATCAATTAATGAGTTATCATGTGCATCTTTACTGACATCAACAAAGCTTTGACACACCCTTTTTACTCTTAATTTGCACTAAATCAATTTACTTAGTACTCAGTAATTTCTTCTTAAGGAAAAAAAAATGGAGATCTTTTCATTGTTTTTTTTTAATTTTAATATTAATTGCCTTAGCATTAAAATCACATGCATGGTGAATATTCTTTGCAGAAGAACTAAATTACTTGATGTCGATAAAAATTTTCTGAGTTCATGTTTCATTACCCTTGAATAACTTCATTGTACGACCCTTAAGTTTAATTACCTAATAATTATCATAATTCTAAAAAATATTGATATCAAAGTATTAACCAATCTACTATAATAGCACTGATAATTTTCCAAATCTCAAAAATAATCATATATAGACCAAAAGTTTAAACTTTATACATTTTCAAAACTAATTTCTCTTTCATGTTTAGATCAATCTATAATATGCCTCATTATTATGCATTTATAATCTTCCAAAAGGAGTTTTTAAGTCCATTCAAATAAGCATCTTCTTCATTGATGTCTTAATCTTTAATTAAAATTTTAATTATCACAAATTATAATGAATTTTACTTGATCAAAACAATGTTATGAAAAGCACGCATGCTTTGGCGTGTGAATGAAAATTTTCCTTTGCTGCTAAAGCACAATCATGTGTGCAGATCGGAGTGCTTTGGCATGTGGAGCACATCCATGCTTGTGAATCGATCAATTGAGCCACATGACGTAAGATATTCAGCTGCTGGTTGACATCATTTTTCTTTCTCACATGAAGAGAGATATGCTCAAGTTATGATCCCGAATTCATTGCAGTGCACAGACACATCCAGCTCTAGAAATAACTCTTCTCAAACCTCATGCCACTCTTAACTCTTCTGCTCATTACATCTAGGGGGAAAAAACATTCTCCTCATTGCAAACGAAGATGACTACAAAGATGGAAAGCCTCTATCTTCAAAGATTATAGCTCTCATTCTCAATATAATATTTCTTTATATTACAAATTACAATCTTCCTCCTTTGACTTCTAAATCATTCAATTCTTCATTTTTTTCTCAACCCTTTATCGACTAAATTTTAAATTCAGTAAATGATTTGACTATTCAGATGTTTCTCTGTGGTATATTATGCCCCTTGCTTTGTGCAGTTTTAGCATTAAGGGATCTGTCAATGAGATGCACTTTCAAATTGTCTAAAAGTTTTACGGGCAATTTTATTTTTTTATTTAAAATTTATAATATTTATGTTTTTGTTTGTGTTAAGATGAATTTAAGGTTCCTTTGTTGATTCAAATAATCAAGACATGAATGAAAATCTATGTAATGGGAAAATTTGAAAAATGATAAATGAATGTTTGATTAACATTTATGTTCACAATCATTAGAGCTTTTGAATCACTTAACAGATGCATAGATATTATATTATTGGATAATGGCATGAAATAATGGTTTGCATCAGGGCTATCAGAAAAGCTCATCATTCATGAATAGCTTGTATTTGGTTTCCTAAGAAACTCGTGTTAATTCTATTCACTAAAAAAGCTGAGCATGAATAGATGCATTGAGCTTGATTATTAAATAAGACAAACATATTGATCGTCATTCAATCATGTTTGGCTCAAAATTAGCTTGATATGTGTGTGTGCGCAAATTATTATTATGTATTTAAATTTATTAATTGGTTAGTAGATAACTAAAATGATTCTATGAACGTTGGTTCATTATTTATTATTTTCATTTGTTTGAATATCATTCTTGTTTAGCTCATGCTTAGTTCGAACTCTAAAGAGCTAAACACAAGCACATCAAATTTAACGATTTGAACATACATTAACTATCAACTCGCTCAAGTTCCTTGTTTACCTCACTACTTATAATTGAAATTCTTGTAGATTACATTTGTACTTTGAATTATGACTTGCTTTAGGTATTTAGTTTATTCCTTCATGTTGTTTAATAAATTGATATTTTTATAATTTATTATCAATTTTATGCTATGTTTAACTCGATTTTATAATTAAATTTATTTATATTTTTGGGTTAAAGGATAACAGTTATCTAAATTATTTTCAATTGTCCACGATAATTCTCCCTAGAGGTATGAATAAAGCAACTCTTACGTTTAATGTTCTTAATTTCTTAATGGCCGATGATAATGCTTCTTCTTAATAGTTGACTTAAAGTTTAAATCCTTTCATAATTTTAATTTAAAAAGAGTTTGTTGCATACTAATATACCATGATATGTCCCATGAAATAAAGTGCATTTTAATTGATTGAAACATGCACTTTTTAGCACCATGTAATTCAAGAAAAAAAGAACGCTTGTGTCAGATGATTAGGGCATACAAAAAAATTGGACCAAAGCTTATAGATTTCTTATAAATTAAGTTTTTCTCAAAAAAAAAAAAAAAAAAAAAAAAAAAGCTTATAGATCTGTCATATTTATTTCACTTATCCATTTCTTCTCCTTCCTCACTAGCTAGCATATCATATAAATCGTAAAAATTATAGTTTTTGTTCTGCTTACGACCCTCTTTGAAAGCTTCTAGCTAACTTATAAGCATTGTAAACGAATTGCTGCTTCTTATAAGCACATTTGTTTTCATATAATAGTTATACCTCTTCATCAAATTACCTTAGAATTTATTACCGGACTCTTAAAAAACCTATGCAATAATACTGCTTAAATAGTCTAATAATCTTTCCCATATTAAATTTGGGTCAACTATAGAATTCTTATTCATCTTTCTAAATGACCTCTCTTGAAAAATTAACCAGCCACATTTAAGTGCCAGCAAATTATCGCACGACCTGGCAGTTCAATTTATAGTCCTCAAATATTCATCCATAACTAATTCTCTTTATAATGCAATAAGAAATTTCTCCTAAAATTACCTTGCGGTCTTCACTAAAGCATTATCTTTTTTTTTTAGACTTTTCACTAGACTCAACCTTTCAATTTAAATAGGAAAATGACATAATCTGAAAAAGAAAGAGTAACAGTATTCATTTTTACTAGGAGTGGTTGGGTGAAACCAAAAGGGAGGAGAAGAAAAGACTTTCAGGTGTTTTCTCTTTCAAGGAACAAGAAACATAAATTAGAGATTTTTCAATTTCAACAATTTTTCACCCCAATTCTATCATCCAAACAGAGCCCAAGTTTTCAGGAATTTACCGTGGCTATAAGTCAGAAATGTCAAAGTTTCTACAACGAGAAAAAAGATTTTATGTGCCTGCCATACTCCAGATAATCAACAGACTTGACTACAGAGAACGCCAATGGATACCCATTCTGAATATCAGCAAAGAGTATAATTTCCTAATTCAAAAACTTTGTATTTAGCACTGCTCGTTACTTTAAGAAAAAAAATTGAGCAAATAGACATCCAACACCAAATAGTAAAGATTAATCCGCTGCTTAATGAGTCATTCATTGAAAAAAAAAGATTTCTAAACGGGACAAACTTAGGGACAGTTAAAGAAGTACCTGCTCATACTCCAAGTCAAACTGCAGGAACTCACTATTACAATTTTCTACCATAGTCGCCAAGCTTTTAAGGTTCTTGACAGGTTTTCCATTGAAGGCAACTACCTGAGAGAATTGCAGAAAAATAATTTAACAAATTGTAAGCACGTGATAATGATAATTTGTTTACAACCGCAAACAATGATTCTAAGAAGTAGAGAGCTAAACTACAAACACAATCAAAGCAACGGTATAGTCTACCAACCTGAGTGTTAACAATATCTTCATAACCAATGTTGATATCAGCCACAAGGACCTGAGATAATCCAAAAAAGAGAAAAAAAGAGTAATTTAGATGATAAGGAAACATCAGATAACAAACCTCTAGCTTTCTTGCGGATGGCAAATGAAATTTCAGTGTGAACATTTGCCTCTATACTAGTGAGATAAGGTAAGAACCTGAGAAACCACTACTAACTGTTCATCAGGTGATTGCGCCATTGCATGTAGATGCTTCTCCAACAACTTCACAGGTGCATCATATTCATAATCTTTGCCGTACTGCGAGTAGCCAGATACAATGTAAGTTCAGCATGTGGCACAATTGCTTGCAAAAAATAGTATAAGACATTTGCAACAATGCTTCCAAAGTACAATAGATGCTCTTCGTCCAGCTAAACACAGTTTAAATGAAAGATGATTATACCTTCCAGCTGCACGCATTATCAAGTGCTGTAGTAAAAAATACTGCTGCACTAAGCCACTAACCAAAGATACATTCATTAATTTTTCTTTCCAGGCATTCTCAAAACACGGAAGGAAAGAGAAGTGATGAATGATTTATTTTGTCTATTTGAAATGTAACAATGAAAGTGACCTTCATCAGCTCGTAGTAGCAGTCGACAAAATTTTTTTTTGTTCAGCACATTTTGGATGCAGATTTAATCCATCACAAGATTTTGGGCTAAGCATCTGTATGTTAGAGACAAATGTATCAACCTTTGCGCTCGAAATGATTTATTTTAATGATCTCATCAATAAATTGTCTTTCTGCAGACTCGAGCAAACATTTATCAATATAACTGCTTTTGCTCACTTAGAAACTTCTAATAAAAAAGATTAACTATTTACTCCTGTACATAAATTTACCTAAAATTTGCAAGACAACAAACAGTTAGGGCAGAATGGTAGCTTGAATCTCGCTTACAGTTAATTAATCATCTTCAGTATTAAGTTTGAAGCTTAACTTGAATCCGTTAACAACTGGATCTTCTTCTTTGTCAATCTTACAGTGAAAAAATTTTCAGTTCTCTTCAGCTTTTAATGATGCTTCCACTCTAGCAGTGCCCGTTAGTCATATGCAATAGTATACTGTTTGGCTGCTGAATAGGTGAGGCTTCCGTGTCTCAAATTGAGCTCCAACCTCCAGCCAAAAGATACTTTTAAGTAAAACTTTTAACCCTATTTCCAGGCAAACCATACAGAACATTGACTAAAGCAAGCGAGTGTTGCACTATAAACATCAGATGCTCATTATTAGACAAAGCATAGAACCAAAAACTCTTGCATGACGTTACACAACACTCCTATTAGCATTAAATCTAATCTCCATTTATTAACAAGAGAATATAGATACAATAACTCAAAGAAAATTTCTCTTTATAAGAGAAGTGAACGTCAGTCTGGCAAGTGCAGAAACATTGGAAATTCTAAATTATAACAATGTTGCAAACACATCAAGAACCAAACACAAGGAATATGCATGTAACTAGCGTAATGTGCACAGGTTGCAGCAGTACACCTGAAAGGCATAAAAGCCATTTTAACTTCCAAACAGAAGATTCCGGACAAAGAGAATTGAGAGTAAAAAAGAGTTGCAAGTATAGAAATTTGAAACACACAACAGACAAGAATAATATGGAAAGAAGCATTTGAAGAAAAAGAGTTTCATAGAACCTCAAAACAAGGTAATGAAAGAAGAAATATAAACCCATTATCATATATATATATATATATATATATA